GCCTATCTGTTTGCCTCATCAATCGGTGCCACCTATTTTGAGGCTTCAGCTGAAACTGATCAAGGACTCGAACAGGTATTTCTCTCCACTGCACTTGGTCTTGTGCGGTTGGCAGATGAGGGTAAAAGTCGTTCGTTACGTCAATTCAATTCGTGTGACTCTATATCTGCCTACACAAACAACAATACTGCCTTAAGTCATACCTCCGCGGCGTTGTCGGCGAAAAATGCCAATGCAGCTTTTCGCTTACCATACGTACACATTGGCATACCGGTAGATGGTGATGATGAGCGTAAAGTGACGGGTGTGGGAAGACTCGAGACACCATCGTGGAGCATTGAACATATCGCTTTGGGTGAAGCTGAGCCCACCAGTTGGTGTTGGTAATGCATGCAGATATTAAAAAGCTTCAATTGGGGTATTTATTATGGGGCAACATCAAAAAAAGTGATTCACTGATGTAAAAACTCGGAATTAAAATGTTAGCGCATTTAGTTTACTACATGATTGTAAATGCAATGTACATATAAAATGCTATTGAACTGTGGAACAAAAAGCAATTATAAAAGATATTTAAATTACGGTCGTAAGCTTTTGTAAATAAGCGCCGTTTGCAATTAGTGGCCATTTTCGTGAAAAATCTCTAAAATCCCTGACTCAAAAATAGTTGATAAGTTGCGCTACTTCCGACTTTTGTACTGATATTTAATATAAGCGCATACGTATAAGTCCATTGTGCATGCAATTGCTATTTACTCGAAAGCAATTGTCTTTAAATAATAATTTATTCTTGTTATAAATAATTAACAATTTGAAGAATTGTAGTTTTAGCAGTAATTATTTAATTACCGTTTGCTTGGAGACGCTTTTGTTAATAGCTTTATTAAATATTAAAATTTTCTTTCAAATAACAATATGTGTACGTTTATCAAATCAAAAACATGTACAAAATAACAACAAAGTATATTGTAGTAGCACTAACCATCGTCACAATGAAAACAGACGAGGAATGAAACTCATATTTTAATATTTCCATACAAACATATTTATGTATATACATATAGGGGTATATAAAGAGATGCAAATATATATATATATAAGTATATGTATATATGAAGTTGATAATATACATACAAAAAGCATTGAAGCCAAATAGAGTTGCTGTTTTATTTAAGCAAGGTGTGGGAAATTACGAGTAAGTTAAATAAAATTTTTAAATAAACTGTAGTTGTAAACTAAATATGTTATTTGGTTCTTCTTGTCTTGCGCTGTAGCCGCCTTTGCGGTTTTAGCTGGTCTAATAAAGCACGCAAGTAAGACCAATAACTTCGCCTCACGGCTTTTCTCCGCAAGCACGCTCCTCTAATCCTCTGTTACTACCCGCGGGTAATGCGTTGCATACTTTTAGGGTTGTAGAGTTTGATTGTGATCGTGACATGACCAAGCTGTACGCTGCTTTATGTATATCCGTGGTAAAGCTCATCGTTCCGCCGTCGTAGAAATAACCGGAACCGACAGAATACCTGCTGAGTTGTTCAAAGCCGGCGACCAAGAGCGCATGCACCAGCTGTTAAGCTAAATTTAGTCTGGTACATGGATAGATGTCCAAAGATCAGAATCTCACTGCACTTTGGCCAATCCACAAAAAGGGAAATCCGGCAGTTTTACCAATTACCGTGGGATAATTGTTGGCCTTCATGAAGCAAGTAATTGGACCTAATCAGTGCGTTGTTATTGTAGCGTAAAACTTAACCAGACCCTACCTAAATCGTAAAGTCCTTCAACCGTTGTCGTCAAGCTCAACTAACGGTAGTCTCAGGAAACGTACTGTTTCGACAGACTAGAGGGAGAGGCGGGTTATTTGAGTTGGGTTGAGTCTGCTCGTGAATAGGTGGTTGTGGTCGTAGGGGAATTTCTACATGTTGGACACTCATTTGCTATGTAGGGGTCGGGGTCTGGACAGGTAGGAGTTGAGACGGCTGCAATATCCGGACCATAACTGGGCCAGAGTTGCGCGGGTCTCTCTCGGCAGTTGAAGCTCACTGTTGTCCGCAGGTGGTGATGGAACTCTTACGATGGAATTCACAGGAGAAAAGTGGGTGTAGGTGGTTACAGCCTTCCTGTGAATGCCCTTAATTGCCAGTCTGTCCAGTTCCGGGCCTAGTGGTTGATGTACTTTGTGTTGGACCGCGTTCCTCAGTTCGTGGATAGGCCTTTTTCAGTGCGTCTTCTGACCTCGCTAAATCTTGGGAGTCACGTTTGACAGCCTTTTCTCCTTCTCAGTGCACGCCTCGGCCACCTGTGAAAATCTGCAAGCCAGAAACAACGTCTTTGGCCGGCAGAACTTGGTGAGTCGACAAAGAGACCCTGCCCAGAATATATAAAACGACGACCTGGCCGGCGGCCAACTACTCAGCGCTAGTGTGATCGGCAGAAACGAGCGATACGCAGTGAATACGGCTAAAGGCTGCCATCTCATGTCGGGTGGTGCCACAGGCTCAAGAGGTTCCTCACTCGACTGAGCTCAGAAGTGGCAAACACCTGCCCAGCATGCGGGCCAAGTTAACACAATACCCAAATTTTTTTCGCATGCATCTCCAACCCGACTACTCTGACACCAGAAGCGCCTATAGACGTCGCCTGCTTCCTCGGAATCAGGCTTGCAGAGTCAGAGGATGAAGATGACTAAGGACGAAGCTCCGGGGGTTGAGCACTGCTGCTACAACAACAACAACAACTCTTTCCAACAGCTGCTACTTTGAGCTCGGTAGGCAATTAAAAAGCAGGAAGCTTTTGATAAAAATATTCTAAGCAACACCTACAGCTTATTTCACGTGGCCAACGGTATCGGGTTCCACGACATGGACATATTAAAAATACGATTGCGTTGGCTGGAATTTGTTGTATGCATAGTTGATGATGCTAAGGGGAAAATATCGCTCGACTCTGCATCAATGAGCTACGAATACTCGTACAACGGAGTGACCAAATGCTGGCGTAATCTGGCAAAGAAGAATTTGGCTAAGAATTATTTATACAGAACAATTTTTGAATTCAAAATATACGAGTATTTTGCTCAAATTTTTCATTCGGGTTGGATTTTTTTTTTCAAAAAATATCTATATGGCTCTTAGGCACGGTGCACATTAGAACGATACAATACGCGATACGATAGGCGATGCGTTAAGCGATACGATATGAAAGCGACATCGGCATGTTGAGTACGTGGGAATTGGCAGGAAGCGATGAAAACAAGCGCACACTTGCACGACAATGACACTGCGGTATCGGCCTAGCGACACGATTTGCTATCACACCGCATTTTGGTATCGCGTGTCGTAGCGCTCTAATGTGTACCGTGCCTTATACTCTGCCGTCTAAAAATTTATCGATTTTGCATTTAGTTTTATCGCTCAATAAAAAAGCAACCCCCCACCCCACCCTTAAGTACGCTCATACTGCTTTATCTAAAAATGA